CTCAACATCTACCAGTCCTCAACCAAGAACCACACAGATGAGGAACCAGGTTGCCCCTTTTACAAGCAGCAGATGACTCCCAAGGAATGACAGGCCGTTAGGAAGCATGTACCCCTCACACCACAACACCAACATGGCCTTGATGAAGCTGCGCAGACGGTGGTACACACCTAAGAAAGAGGTCCCAAAAGACGTGTTGCCAATCTCTCCGAAGAGAATCAGCAAGGTCTTGGCTGCTATTTAAAGATGACTGCCTGCTTCTATTTCTACCTGTAAAGGGAAAAAGAGGCCTGCTCCTCACCTCATATCGATCTCATTGAAAGTGGTCAGCATGGCACAAGTATTCTGAGCCTCTTTCAGCCGCTGAGCAATACGCTGACGCATCCTATTCATTTTCACCTAAAAATTAAAAAAGACATAAGCAGAAGCTGCCTCGAGTTCATCCAAAGGGCAAAATGCAGAAAAAACTCAAAAGGCCCTTCTTCTTGCCAGCTGGTGGATTAGTAATGGATGCCTAGGGCCAAGGTTTTCCCTCCAGGTCTCCCTGAGGAGCATGACAGGCTGAGGAGTTGATTTCACCATGGAGTTGCCCAGCTCAACACACAGTTTCCAGCATGAGGCTAATGTGAGAAAAGCAAGACTGCTAAGAAAGCAGGCTGCTCAACCATGTTCTCTTAAGAACACACAAGGTAGGTGCAGCAGCCTCAGTCCTTTGCTAAGGGCTTGTGAACAGACCAAGCAGATCACACTGAGCCTTCTGTACTCAGTCAGGAGAGTTCAAGACAAGACTTTTGCTTAGAAAAGACCTGTGTTAGAGTGGACCTGGCTCTTCCTCCACCCCACCCCTAAGCGATGCCCTCATGTAGAGCATTTCCCCATCTGTACACAGTCCCACTGAGCTGGGAGTGAACAGGTAGATATGGACACATCTGGAAACCTCAAGGCTTATGCCAGAACAAGTTGTCACCCAGCAACAGAAGTTCTGGCAAGGCCCCTATTCCCACAGCTTACCCTATGCTCTGATCTGGCACCTTTGCTGGGCGCTGCCTCCCCAGGAGGGGCTGCCGCTGGGGCTGCAGCCGGCTTCACCGCAGACACTGAGAGTAAAGAACACATCAGTCAAAAAGGGAAGCCAGGGCTTGATCGCAACGCCCTGAGGTAGAAAGTCCATTTGACCTCCTGGCTCAAGCAACACAGCGTGGAAGCAGCCTTGAATTGGGCTGTGCAGGTACCAGGCATAGCTGAGCTCTCCAGTCTGGAGCATGCAGGGCAATTATGCGGGGAGGCCTTCACGATAAACGCCAGACTGTTTGCTGCCTTTAACCTTACACACTCTCCCCAAGGAACAGAGGCTTGTAAATAGGAGAAAATGGCTGTTGCCTCACCTGGCTTGCTGTCGATGGGCTGAGTTGACACAGGTGGCACTGGTGGCATTGTAGTGGGAATTGGTGCTGCAGCAGGGGGAGGAGCAGCCACAGTTACAGGTTCAGGGGCTGCAGGAGGAGGAGGGGCTGCTGCTGGCTTGGCCTTGGCAGGAGCAGCTGAAAGACAAGAAAGAACCACGGTAAGGGCAACGACAGCTTCCAGTGTCAGGGATCTCCGAGTCCAACCAACCTGATAGAAGTTAACCCTCTGGCAGAGTGCCTTTATGTTCTCAGCACTACTGAACTGATAGGAGCCATCACAAGAGGACCCCATGGTGAAAGTGTTTTACTCATCGACACCCTAGATCTCCTCACTGTGCACAAGACTGGATGCTAAAGAGAAGAGGGTGGAGAAGGGCATTGTATCAGGGGAATTCTCAACTAATTTTAGCTTAGAGCTGCAGTCTCCTCCAGAGGGAGCAAAAAGAAAGTTAATCCCTCAGAAGGACTAAAATTATGCTTTTTTAATGGACAACAGAATAGGAGTATTTTCTTCCAGCTACAGAGGCAGATGGAGGAAACATTTAACCTCTCTCAGGATCATTCTAAACGCCTTGCTTCCATCTTCAGAAAAAGATTGGTGGAAACAGTAAGGCCTGTGCAAGTTATACATGCCTGACTTACCTCCAGTTTTCCTGAGTTTGAACAGAGGTGTCCCCCCTTCCACTTTGCCACCATCGGGTACCAGAAGGGCTTCAATCACACCAGCTGCTGGGGCTGGAACTTGCACTGATGTCTGCAAAAAGGAAAATCAGTGAAATTCCCCTAAACATTGGATGGAGAACAAGTGCACAAGAGAGGATGCCAATATGCACAGATACACATTATAATTTGGCACAGACAGAGGCTCTGTCTCGCACCATTTGCACCAGCTTTCACACCCTCCACTGGGATTTTGTGCCAATACTTAGAAGTTTTAGGAGATGCTGGCAGTATAACGTACAGCCTGATCTTCATGCTCCAGGGTTCAATCAAGAATTGACCCGCTGCCAGCATCTTCCTGACAGCAACACTGGAAGCAGAACTTGGCAGGGAGTTTTACAAAGAACTTCAAAGCTCAAGGGTCCTCTAAGGAGTGCATAAACTTAAAGGCTAAATTTAAAACAATCTGAAGGCATCCTATGGCTCTGCTGGTTTCTCCTCTGTTTAAACACAAACAGGTTTCAAAGCTTAGAGCACCGAAATTGGAAGGAGGAGTGGAATTGCAGCTCCAACAAACATCAGCACCACTGATGCTTAACCAAATGTATGAGGAAGGAAGAGTTATCAAAGAACTACCATTTAAGGCACAGCCAGCTTTCATACTAGATGAGAAAAGCTTTTCTCCAGGAAGGGAGCAGGAGACACAGGCAGGGCCTGCAGGCTCAAGGAGCTCTTAGCGGGAGAGGAGCCATACAAGGTACCCGCTACAGAACTAGAAAAAGTTTTGGTCCAGAAAACTCCTACCTTGTCTGTTTCAATCTCGCACACCACTTCATCTTCCGCCACTGTGTCTCCAACAGCTGAATGACAGATATGAAGACCACTGTGAGGAGGGAGGTGTGCTCTGGCCTCCCCTCTTAACCCACAGCAGTCTCCCCCACTAACCCAGAATTTTCTCACAACAGTTCTCCACAACTTCTAAAGAAAAGTCTAGCTCAAACAATCAATCTACTGCACAGAGTCTGATTCCAGTTTAGACCTCACCCTTCACCCAACATCACCCATGACAGAGAGATGCCGAGGCATTAACTGCAATCCTTACTCCTTAGGAGAACTGCAATTAACTGTCTCATTTTCACAAACTGAAAGGCACAGAGCAGGCTGTCAGCCAGTGAACTACAATCCATCTCCGAGCTGTCCAGTGCAGCAGTAACGGTGCTGAGAATTTCAGGGAAGAGACAACTGCTCACCTTTCTCCCACCTGACATCGCCTTCTGTGACTGACTCTGCAAAGGCTGGTGTGTTCACCGTAACCACGTCATCCCCTGTGAGAGAGACAGAAAGACTTGAACGCATTCAGAGCTCAAAACTTATGGCATTGCTTCATTCTTGTCATCAGGACTCTACTAGAGGGAGTAGGTCAACAGATATCAAATGTCGGCCTTCTCCTTGCTTCAACACCTAATTAACATTTAAACACAAGAGAAATTCCCATCTGACTGAAAGTCACATTGTGACAGAACTGCCAGATGAAATTTTTAGGGCCCCGGGACATAAATCCTCAGCCATCCATCGAGGTGGGACAGCAGTGGGCCTAGACCAAGGATGGAAGAGGTAGCTTCAGCTGTTGTCAGAACAGCAACAGGTAGCAAAAGAGTCATCCCGCTGGCTCCTGACTTTTTACTTACTACGTACTGCAGTGGTTCTGAAGTAACGGACAGTGAAGACACTGGTGCTATTTACTCTGCAGAAAGACAGAAAGATATGAACACAGAAGTACGTTCCTCTGCAGGCTGCCAGCACCAAGCTCAAGTACAGAATTTACTTTTGCTTAACTGATCTGAAAGGCTGCTCAGCTGTTCTGATGTTCTGTTCAAGCTGCAACAATCCCACTAAGAAAGGAAACGTTACAGCTTACCATCACTAGTGCTCTCAGAAACTCAGTAAGAACTGACATTTATGGAATTTCAATTTAGAGAGACAACGCAACAGAGCTCCTGTGGTTTAAATACTGATAAAAGGCTGACCTAGCCAGCCCACCCTACGCCCAAGACTAGTGCAGTAACCAGTTTTTCACCTCCAGATCAGGACTGTCATCTCTACAGAAGTTGCTAGATTGCTCCAAAAAAAGAGAAAGCACCATAAATTGCCTATGGCAACATATCCAAGAGACAGCTATTTCTCTCCACCATGTCCCTTCACAGGGAGCTGGCAATCCCAAGCGTCCCAAAGGATGTCTTTTATACCTACTGACACCACATTTGGAAACCTGAAGCAAACATGCTTTAGCATTTCCTCTAACACAAGCTACTTGGTGCAAACAGACCAGCATTTCAGGTTTTTATGGATGTGCTCTTAAGGTTATTTCCCCAAATACATTTTTACAAGACCACCTCAGCATACAGTTGCCATATGAACAACAGCTCCCTGAATAACCCCACTTCTCCTGACAGAAATCCTACCAGGAGGCCATCATAGAGCAAGCAAGACTTCTAATCAGATAATCAAAGAGTATAGATCCATTTATCACCAGTCTCCTCATTCCTGGCCCTTCCCTCCCTCAGTATCTGGTTCCAAACAAAGCTTATTTTATTTAAGCATGCCACAGTTCCTGACCTGCAAAACCTAGATTTGCTCCTATGATGTGCACAGGGATTTTATGACAGCCAACCATATTCGGCCTCCCAGCCCCCAATCTTATCAGGGCTAGAGCAGCCCCAGCCTCTCCACATCACAGCTCTCCTGGGGGTACTTACACAAGCTTCCTGCTGTTGGTGTAAGCCAGTCCCTGGCTCCCAGCCACACCTGTGAATGAGAATGGTGTTACCCCACAGGAACGTTATCCAGCCGTCCAGCCCTCAAGTGTCCCTGTCAGCTAAAAGAGTGCAGAGGACACCACTGTCCACTCTGAAAGAAGCTTGGGACTAAGTGGGGAATATAGCCATATAGAGGCACCTCAGTGCCATCAAACCTGCCCAGAGATTGCCAAGAACAGTGGTCTTGTCTTCATCCAGATTTATAGAGATGGGAAAAACAGTTATATCTTGACGTCAAAGCTAATAAGGATAACTTTGAAAAGGGCAAACAAAGTAGCAGCTACCCCACTCAGAACAAAACCAGGAAACAGCTATGAGGGACGCCTCCAGGACTGCTAAAACCTCAGTTGCTGCTGAGTTATCCTCACCAATACAAAGGGGTTCCTAATAGGAGCAAGGCATCAGTCCCCTAAGAAGCACACCCAGGAAGCCTCACAGTCGCATGGACAGGTAAGGAGGAAAGAAATAACGAAAACAGGGTGTAGGGCAGAGTAGCAAGCCCCCATCATCCCTCTTCTCTGTCCACCCCCTGTCCCACGAACACTTATCTTCCAAAACTCAAGCAGGGAGGTACTTGCATAGCTTCTCTGTTTCACACACCCCAGTGTCCCCTTCCCACACCGCTCACATGCCCTGACACTGCAATTTTTATTACAAACTGAACTCCTGTCCTTTGTCTCTTTCAGGGCACTGGGCAGTTTTCCAGACTGATCTTAAAGAGAGTCAGCATAGCAACCAGAGAACATAATTATCTCAATTACACAATGCCAGAAGGAAGAACCATTTCCCCACTTGATTTTTAAAAAAAAGCAATACAATTTTGACACCATCCCCTACTGAAGAGCTGATACTGGAACTATAGAAACCGGAAAAGGAAGCAGATCTAACTAGTTTCTCAAAGTGGAATCAGAAGTGAGTGATGTAATGCTATATAAACACAGTACAGCTAGAAAAAACAGACCTCCGGGAAAATCTAGTTTAAGCACTGAAGAGGAGTTCACAGGCATACTGGATTTGACATGTCACTTAACATTCACCCACCATTTTCAAAGGAGTTTATTAGAGAGCTAGGCTCTGCAACAGCATGTGTTTCAAGCACTGCAATGCTTGAAATACACTGTGCTGCTGCTGTGAAATCTTCACCACAGCTGAATGGATTGGGCAGCATGTACATTAGGCAAGGAAGGCAATCGCATGGAAACACAGCTCATTTTACCAACTGTTTCTTCATTACATGATTGACAGAAATAAACCCTAATCAAACCTATTACCAATTTCCATCATCAGCTCTGTTCTGTATAGATAGTTCGAAATGAAATAAAAGTGTAAGACTCACCAGACAGAGAGCATCTTGCCAGAGTACAGTTCCCCTGTCAGAGAGAAGACGAACGATCAGTATTGTAAAAAGATGGACCCACCCTAGAAGCACTTTGGTTTTCCCATGAGACCTGGATCAGAGGAAGGACCCACCATTCCCATGCTCCAGACTGCAGGCATGCTACTTTCCCGTAGTGCGCAAGAGCAGGAGATCATGAAAGCATCTACACCTTCTCTTTGCTTTGTCGCCTTCCAGGTTGCTTTCCTGTGGAGTGATGTTAAACCTGATGCACTTGGTTTTCAGTTGTGGCTCCAGCTGTTTTGACCTTCTCATGCACACTTTCCTCTTTAAGAAGGAGCAGATAGTTCTAAAGACTCATTCACTAAAATTTGCTATGAATGAGAAGGTCAAGGGTAGCTACTGGATATGATGAAAAAAATTCCCATGATGTTTACTCCTACAGTCATGAATGCAGCATCTGCAGGTTTGTTTGTTTGTTTTAAGGCTACAGAGCCTTTCAACTCCAGAAGGCCAGAATTTCCCTCGATGGCAAAATTTCTACTGCCTTCAGTGAGTCAGGAATTCTACCTTCTGGTGATGTTTCACTTCATACCCATGTAATCATTGACTGCACTCCTAGCTAGCATAACATGCGTCAAAAGTAAAAGACATTTCAGGATATTCCAGTTACTTTCTCTATTGTTATTATACATTTCTCTAGCATCCAACCTGCAGATCTGGAGAACCTAAGAGCTCTTTAAAAGCTACAGGAAAATATCACAGTAACCATGACTAAAATGCAGTTGACTGGTTTGGAACAACAGCTACTCAACAGCTCAAAGCACCCTCATCCACCAGTTAAGGTAAGAGGTAAAAATTAGATTTCATTCACATCTTCAGTGTCTGAAGGTTAGTTTGTGTGTAAGCCCTGATTTCAGCTTCACCAGAGCAAGCAGGATGGGATATAACTGATTTTAAATACCAAAATAATCTGTGGGGCTGTGTGTGATAAGACAACATAGGGATCAAGGACCAAAGAGATACTTAAGCTTGTCACACTGTCTACAGGACTGAGTGCTGTCGCATGCAAAAATATATTCAGTGAACACTTCATGTCATCGAAACTACTAACAGGCCTGGAATCGACCCCTTGGCAGTTTAATTATCCAAACTTAATGATGGATTTGGCTTCTCGGATATTAACACACAGTCAACTCAATGATCGATGGGCAGTTCATCAGGGTTATGATTAGCTGTGCCGAGGACACAGGCAGGCAGGCTAACTTGCTGCTAAGCCAGCCTGGGTCTAGCAGAGCTCAGGAGCTCCAGCACAGCGCCATGCTGGACCCTGCTTGCTGGTCCACTGCAGGGACCAACAATCCTGGACCGACAGTCCTGCAAAACCAGATTCTGGCAGGGCCTGCTGGAGCCCCTGCCCCAGGTCTGGCTGGGGAAGGGAAAGCAGGGAGCACTGTGCAGACTTTGCAGAGTCATCGTGAACGCTACAACGCTTAATCTTGGTGCAGCACTGGCCCCCTGCTAACTCAGATCTGGTTTGTGTAGAGAGCCAGCCCTAAGCTGGGATCAGTAAGGCAAACTTCATCTTAACTCTGCTTGGTCAAGCGTCTAAAGCACCACAATCCTCAGCACATATGTTAGTTCCCATATTGATCAAATTCTTCCCACTTTCTGTAGTGTCCCAGATAATATGAAGTCAATCACAAATAAAATATCAAGTGACCTGAGCTCCCCTCTGCCCATTAATGTTTTCCCAGGTGCTTTATAAAAAAAGTGGTTAAAGGTATTCCTAGCATCCCAGACAATAACTTGTTAAGAAAGAGGAACAGCCTCAGACTGAAGCAGAAACAGCCAATTTTATTTGCTCAGGACAAGTTTACTGTAAGGTTAAAAAAAAAAGTTTAGAAGGCCTGTCCTAAAATAAATTGTCATGAGAAAACACATCTGCAGCTCTTTCCAGAAGTGCCAAGTCTGTGTTCCACAACTGCTGCAAAATTAAGGAAAAATTGGTTATCACTCTACCCTTCTGTCTTTTAGGTTAAGAAATGAGGAAAAGAGCTCTAATGTGAGGAGGAAGCCACTAATAAAAGATACTGAGGTTCCTCCATCTTGTGTTCTGCAGAACCACTGTGTGTCCACCTCTTAACTACAGTACCTCAGAAATGCACATGCAGCTCCGTGAGATGCCCGACAGGGCTGTTTCTTGTTCCCTTTTTCCCTGAAGGAATCACTGATTGCATCTGCTCCTGGTATCACCTGGCTAAATCTGCCCTCTGCCTGATTGGAGCTTCTTCAGTGAAAATGGAAACATTTAGGTTTTGCTAGCTGGCATTAGCACTTTGGGTCACTTTAAAAAGACAGCCTTCACTTGGAGAAATAAGTCTTGGTCTAATTAGCTAGTGACTCACGTACCAAGTGATTAATTTTCCCCCCACGTTTCACATGACTTCTCAGAATTGTTTTTATAACTATTACTATGTCAAAGTGACCCTGGCACACAGCGTCCCAAGCCACACCTTCCAAGGAGCCGTCACGTTCCAGTAGGTTACTACACACTGAAATAAATTACGGAATACATCAGCTGACGGCCTGTATACCTACAGACTACTTCTTCAGTGGGAACTGGACCAGTGGGAACAGGGACCAGTTCAGGTAAGGACACTAACTGAACAGGAGGGTACAGTTAATTTCAACAGGGGCAAAACAGAAGCCTAGTGCTGGGCAGCTCTGATGACAGGCAAAGCAGCAATCGGTTCTCCAGCCCCAGCTTCTTCAAAGCAAAGAAGCTGCTGCTTTAACAAGAAGGATGAGCGCAAACCACTGCCACACTCAAAAAACCCATGGATTTTTACACAATTATATATAGTGTGGCAAGGCAGACGCTAAGATGGGATGGAGATAACAATGCTGAGCGGTAAAGGGTAGTGTTACTAAGATGACAGGCTGAGAACGCCTCCAGCACGCAGGGAGGATCAAACAGGGAAGAAAAAGTTCTTTAGAAACTCTTCCCCAGATAAATAGAAGGACTTGATTCTCAAAGCACTGAATGCAGCTCCTGATCAAACCATCCTTTTTCAGACTAGCTCTTCTCTGGACTTTTTCAGGTCATCCTTCAACAGCTGCCCCCGCCACCCCACCGAGTCTTACATGCTCGGATGCAGGCTACTGATGCACATTCATGATTTCTACTTGATATATGAATCCAGGACCTTTTTCTCTTCTATGAGATCATCAAAATCCAGCCAACCCTTCCCCACCCTCATTGTTTCTTGCTGACTCCCCTGTTCTCCCATTCAACCCTACACTTCTGAATTTTGTACATGTCTGTTGTTTTCACTTCTCCCATCAGAGGTTTGCCAAGTTCTGGCAAAGTTTCTTTCTGTCTCTCCAAAAAGCCTGTATTATCCCTTTCGTTAAAGCTTACTTCCCATATCCCTGCTCAAATAGAAATCAAACTACTAACACCATCTTGACTTCTCAACCTTTCTAGTACATCTAACAGGTTAACTAAAATTATCTCCCCTTCCTAGTACTCAGCTATAACCTCCCGTAATCTCCTGATTTGCAGACTAGTTTTGTAAAAGGTTTGAATACTCCATCTGGCTCTCCCCCCATTCTGTATAATTACACAGCACCACTGAGAGCTGACAAAGCTTAAATATCGTTAAAATGCCACTTAAATAAGCTTATTTTAAATGGCACTATAATCAATTTGTATCTACGTATATGTATAACAAAATATAACTACATAGTTAGTTACAAATTGTTTATAGTGCAGTTTTATATATACACACACATATAAACACAAATCTGTTTGTAGCGCCCAAAGACAAGCATTTAACATACAATAGCCCTGTGGGGAAGCATGACATAATTAAATGTTCAACATTACAATTAGCTGTCAACACTTGCTCGCCTACATTCACACGATGGCTAAAATCAAATCTCACGCTCTAAGGTTTCAGCTGGTCATCTGGAAGCGAAGTGACCTTTTTCCTCCTGTAGGCATGCATATCTATGTGTGTGTATGCATGCATACATATAGGTATGTACATACAGTTATGCATGTTTGCTATTTAAATGGAAGATGTGTCCAGAAGTCAGCGAACCACAGAAACCAGCTGGCCCAGAGCAGCCCCGGCCCTCATTTAAGCAGCTGGCGCTGGCTATTAGACTCTGCAACCTGTGCTACCGCCAGCACAGGTTACCACCGTTTGCATCGGTTCCACGACTGCTTTGAAAACTGAGCACGGAAATTAGGTAAGAAAGTAGACACCTCTTTATTTCCCGTTTCTGCACCGGGCCGACGCCGGCCGGG